CACTGAGAAGGATCCTTGTCTATTTTTGAGGTCTTATTAATTAATATGAGTGGGAATTAAACACAGAGAAAAAAACGATAGTCCTTTGTATGTGGACATTATAAGTCCTTTTGTGTTCTCTCTGCCTGGAACTAAACATGACTTCAGGCTTTTCAGTTGTTTATGACCCACTTCCTCTATAAAATGTTTCTTTTCCCACCCAAGCTATCCCCAAACGTTACCATCTGTTGGCTGTTGAATGGCCTTTGTGAAATATGATTGTCATCTCAGCCAGTTCCCAATGGACAAGTGTACACCTTATGAAAAGCCCCCCCACAATTGGCACCCTTGTTGGCAGTCTTAGCATAAAGGTTGAAGAGTGACTGAGTACTGAAACCAAAGCCCTTCATATACACAGATGGTCCTGCCATCTCAGGGTTGAGTGGCACTTTAGGAGGGCAGTATGAGGAGGAAACCTGAACTATAACTGACGGGCTTTGCCTGCTCTGTTGATACAGAAGACTTCATGCTTCAGACCTATCATTCTGGCACCTTTCACCAGTGGTTAATTAACTAAAGAATTTAAAAGTAGTCACCCCTGAACATGGCTGTCACTTCACTGTCTCAAACAGAATTCACACTGCCTAAAAACAAACACACAGAAGAACTATGCTAATAAATCATCTTCAATAAACGCCAGGGGTGGTAAAGGAAAATGACTCAAAAGAACTTTTTCCTTATATAACCCATTAGCCATCTCCTGCTTATTATTTCTGTTTGAAGTTTCCCATAAACTCTGGAACTCATTTAGTTATCCAAAAATCGAGATTTGTTGTCCGTTTACTAAAAGCTAGTTGTCTCCATCATACACAGTTTTCACAACTGTTGCTGTTTTGATTTGAGCTACAGACATAAATAGGGTCATCTCCAGCCACAGAGGGTGGATGTTTAGTTTACAGCATTGAGGTTAAGCATGTGACTAAGAGTGAAAAAACAGAGGATCCTTTGTATACATCAAGAGTCCTGAGGCAAAACAGAGAGGGAGAATGCTGACACAGATTTCAATAGGGAAAGAAAAGAGACCATTATAATTTTAGAGAGGAGAGAATTAAATCATTTAGGAGAAATCAAGGTTTAAAGACCTTTCATATGGAACATTTATATTGATGTCAGACACTTAATTTTGTTAAAGGGACAGACAGACATCAGGACCTCAAAATAACAAAAAGCAATACCTGCATCAGATGTGAAGGAAGTCAAAGTAGTAGCAAACACCCATCAGTAGCATATAACAACAAGTAGGTATTAGCACTGAACTATCATCCACTTTTTAATTCAAATCCCTGTTGGAAGGAAGCATATTTGTTTTCATGCAGCATTTTAATGCTAATTAGCAATATGTACAAATGTTTATATAAAGTCTCCTCCATTTTCAGACATACCACTTCATTCTCCAATCACATGGTATTGTACACGTATTGAATGCTCCCTAGCTTGTATTGGAAGCTCCTTGAGGCAGGGACTTTGTCATGATATGACATTAAGCAAACTCCTACTGTTCAGCAAGTATATGTATAATCATTCAAACAGAAACAGCTGTCCTGACCTGCCAGAAAGGAGGAAATTAGTTGGCAAGTTGCCTCTGCTCCTCACCTGTGATGGAAAATTGCTCAGCTTGTGTGACGCCCCCAAAAGCAGAGGGGCCAAGCCACTTCTGTTGCCCATGGTTAAAAATGTCCCTGGCTGTTTTTTTGTTTGCTTGAATGAGACAATGCAGTTGAAGCTCTCCCATTTTAAGCCACTGTTTCCCAGTCAGTTAGGTCTGTCTCAAAAACTGACTTTTTGGACCCCCCCCCAAACCAAATAAACATAAAAGACTTGGTGCTAGACCAGAAATGAATGGATTTTCTAAAGTATCTTTTAAATACCAATCTATTTCTGAATGATTCAGATGTGTAAGCAGACAGAAGCTTGATTTGGGCAGCATTCATGTAAATCATGCTCAGCAAGGACCAGTACTTTAGCCATATATCAAGGTATTAAATTTTGAAAATTTCTGGATGTTTAATCATAGTCCACTAAGTGCAGTAGATTCTTCCAGTGCCTCTTTTTGCTGAAGTTAAGGGGAATATAGTGCTTTATGGATCTGGTAGTGTAAGGAGAGAAGAACTTTGAGCATCAGAACAGTGTATTTATCCTCATTTTATTTATAGGTAGGCCGAACACTTCTTAATAAACACTTTCCTGCAGCACTAACCTAACTTAAACTATTTATCTCATCACTAAAGCATACCATTTAAGGTTAATGGTATGAAACTAAAACACATTTTTTTAAAAGCTGTTACTATGGTGCAAATACGTCCTAGGAAGAACATATCGCGATTGCCCCCACCCCGTTACAAGTGAAGGGACAGTGGCTGGAAGCAGACTGTGCGAGGGACTCTGCTTCTGTCTAATTTTGATTAGTATGCACGTTTAAGTCTAGTCAGGATCTGAGGAGGAAATCTCCACCTTGTTGTTGTTGATCCTGGGAGTACTCCTGTGTGTGAGCATGTTGGATTTGGTTTTGATGCTTGATCTTATCATCTCTCTTCACCCCAGGTTCTAATGTATACAGTTAAAAAAAAAAAAAACCTCACTTGGCTGCAGTCATATGACTACAGGCTGTGATAGCATCTAATTTCATAACTTAAGCAAAGCTGGGTTTAGTCCTTTGGGAGATCTCCAAGGAAGGATTTTGTTCCAGCCATTTGTGCACCAGCCTATGTTTCCTGTTAGGTAAAAGCCCTTTCAGCTGTTCCAGCTACGTGTCAGTGCTAAGACCATACAGTTAGTTTTTAAAGGCCACATTTTACTTTAATAAAATAATTATGAAAAAATTCAGATTTTAATCATACAAGAGTCAGGAAATTCAGAGTTAATTCCCCCAGCTGCATCAATCTTACCTCTGTCCCCTTGTACGAGTATATTACAATAAGCTCTTTCATAATCACATGACACTGGGCAGGGGACACATTTCTCAGCAAATCTAATACAATGAAAATAAATTGTACTTTTTTTCTATAATTTTAGATGTGCATGTTGCTTTTCATATTACTGCATACATCATGTGTTCAGGAAATGAAAGACCCTATTGTAAGGCATACACCAAAACAAGACAACTTAACATTGTAGTGGGAATATTAACTCAGTTTCCTAAGCCTTTTGGAGATTAAAATCTCACTAGTAATATTGCTTTAATGAAGTATACTAAAATTATTAAACTCATACATTGTCCTGCCTGGACTGGTTACCATTATTCAATGGAAATATTTCCTCCAATTATTTACAGGAACTCAATAAAATTGAATTCCACAGAGGGGTACACATCAGGGTCCCAAATATAAGTGTGCATTTACTAGCTCAGTGAAATCAGGAATTTGACTTTGCAACGGGGCGGGGGGGAGAAGATTCATTACCATCTGTGATAACCTGGGGAATCTGTACAATTCGTGAATTCTGTGAGAGATTATGAATTCTCTATGTATCTTTACCAAGCTGAAAACTCTTATTGTAAAAGTGGTCCTTTGTCTTCTATTGTCTTTTCACCTCCATGTCGGACCAAAATTTCCAACTGCAGTAGTGGCAAAGGCCTAACAAGAGAGGGTTGTTAAATCATGCTGGTCCCCTACTCAGAAAGGGCAAAGTGCTGGTTTCTATCCTAGAGAACTGGTTTGTCAGGGAAGGTCACTGGCAACAAAACCACCTGGCAGGGGTCAGATCACCTGGGGAGGCTGAGCAGGACATCTGATAAAGGGGCTAAAAAGTTAAGAGGGCAGGAACTGCTTTACTCAAATGGCCATTTTTCTCCTATTTAAGAGGAGGGAGAAGCAACTCAACAATATGTAGGGGCCCGATGAGAGTCTCTCCTACAGCCTGAACACAGTTGGTCCCGCAAGGAAAGGGTGAAGTAGTGAGGAGCACCGCATTTAGAATGTTTGTTTTCTAAATGATCTATACTCTGTCTATTTCTCAGGTGATTAAGTAAAGAAGTAATAATGTGTTAGATTCTGGTCAAAGTGTCTGCGTGTGTTGTATGCTTCACAACTGCCACGTGTCTCCAGAGAGAGTTAAATGGTAACCCAGAAGACACTCACTTTTGCTGGGCTTCCAGAAGCGGGTGCATAAGCTACAGAAGAGTCTGAAGGGTCAGCACTCTAGCCAAGTGAACACCAGTGTTCCAGCTCTCAAGAGGGGGTACTAGAGAAATGGTCTGTACCTCAAGTATGTGCCTAGGGGCAGTGGCTGAGCTCCAGTCAGGCTCTGGAGACAGACACCTAGGCAGCAGGAGGCTCTGTTCCCTCACAGCAGTCTAGGGAGTAGCCAAAAGAGGGAGCTCAACTAGGACCAGTGACACCATCTTATCCCTTAGAGTCACCGTTCATTTGCATAAAATATACATAATTAGTAGTATAGACCTACATCTTCCTTGGTAGATTAATGCGAATACATTTGTTAATCATCCATAAAAACCTGCAGCTGATCAGCTTTGAATGAGCTTGCATAGGAAGTACAAAAAACAGCCAGTAGAAGCCACATTTTAAGAGTCTGGAGGCAGCATATTGTTACCTGTGTTAAGATACAATTTTCAGCTTTGTGGATGGAAGTGGAAAGTTTAGCTGTGCAGCTCCTATTAGCAACAGCTTTGTAAAGCCCAGTGTACTGTGGTGATAATACAGCCTCAAAAGCTTCATATTTCACGTATTTCATAATTCAGTCACCAGTGGGCTTAGAAAAACCTGTTTTTTTCCCCTGTACAAAGACAGCATATTAAAGGAAAATCTTGGTTTAGCTGCAGAGGTTGGTATGGGGTAGGTAACAGGGAGTATACACATGGATCTACCAGCCATTTACAAAGTTTACCAACCAAAGTTGTACTTCCATATTATTTTACCAAATTACAGGCCTATTGGGCAATTTGCGAAGGTTCGGATCACTAGAATGGAGTGTCATACAGCCATTAAACCATACAAAAAGCAAAAGAACAGAATACATAGCATTTAACAATTTTATTAAAAATTGTACCAGTTATTAGAAAAAAATTCCAAGTATTAAAAAGCACCAGAGAGAAAGCACAGAGCAAATATACTGCACAGATACAAAAAAGGAGCTCCTCCCAGTCACCATCACTACAGGCAGGAGTCCTGGAGGCACACAGCCAAGATAAACAAAATGCTACATTCTCACTGGGTCTCAGTCCATGGCAGAGAGGGCGTGTGCACTTCAGGACTAGTCTAGACAAAGATTTCACAGGAGAGCATCGGCTGTACTTCTTCAGCTGGGAGAACATAAGATTCATTCAGCAGGGACACTCTATGAAAGGTTAAGAGCATTTTAAACAATACATTGAGAACCTCTCTCCCCCTCATCTTTTTGATTCTCCAAGGCAGCCACTGGAGGCAATTAATTACTCCAAAGTTTAAAAATGAAACCTCTCCAACAAGAGTAGAAAAGTCCAGGGGGAAATGAAGCTGCACGTCAAAATATGCTCATCTATGGATCTTTAAAGAGAAATGCAGAGGAGATTTGAATACATTTCTGATACCACAGAAGGAAAGGAAGAGGATTTGGAAAAGAAAGAGATACATTCAAGTTGGGAGGAGGGGGGTTGTTTGTTTGTTTTTTTAAGTAGTCTAACTTTGGGCACCAAAAGTCCATATTTAGTGTCAGGATTTTCAAAAGCACCAAACTCTCTTAGGTGCTTTTGAAAATCCCCCACTAGGAGCCTAACTTTAAGCACCCATTTAGTAAGATCATAGCCATGTTTGTCTTCTTACATCATGTGACTACAACACATCAGTGAGAAGGGAGAAGTGTTACATCCCCCTTCTACCCTCAACCTTTCCTCAGAGTAGTATAACCAAACTGGAGTGGTCTTCTGAGGGGTGCAGGCCTAAAGTAGTCTCCCTGGAGCTGAAGAGTCTGTGGCGATGCTCTCCTGGGGATGAATCCACAAATCAGGGAGACTCCACTTGATTTTTAAAGATAACTTTGTACATGCAAAATCTTCATAATAATTTAAAACAGTTTAAAGATCTACACTTCCCACCCCCTCCCTCCACTCCCCAAAGGCAGCAAATCATCTGAAGACAGAACTGGAAAATGGCTTTTAAAAAACTCTACAGATTTAAGTTTCACTTCCCAGAAACCAACTTCCAGCATGGGATTCATAGGAAGAGACCCTCCCATCTGTGGGGGAAGGGGGTGGGAGGTGTGGAAGAAAAAAGGGGGGGGTGGGGGGGGATGTCAGACTGCCTTTTTATGTAAACACACAGACACATACAGGCATACACACAATTACATTCCAGTGCATTCAATGTGTTTAGTCTTTTTCTGCTTTTCCTTATCGGCAAGAACTAAGTGGTGTACTACCTGTGTGAATGTGTACAAACCAAAGAAATAATGATCATAAGAGCTTTTTAGGAATTGTAAGAGATCTTGAACACTCTCTCACCAATTCCTTGAGGTATTTTTTTCTTTCTGAAACAAATCAAAAGCAACAGGGAGGTGTTGGGTTTTTGTTTTTTTTTTAAATGACCACAAATGCCAATTTAAAAACAATATTCTTTGGAATGACTATGAATAGCTTTGCTGTCAGCTCTTAATACTCTGTATCACTTGACCCACCTGCAGAACTCCCATTAGTGTGAATGGGCATTGCAGAGATGAATCAAGGGCATTATATCCTGTCAAGGTTGCTCATAGTAATTAATATGAGCCTTCCCTTTAACCAAAGTAGGGCTGTTAGTAAAACCACCCCTTGAATGTACCTGATATGTTCCCATATGGAACAATGGGCACATGTTCCATATGGGCAATGGAAGGGGACAATGCTACATAACAATCCATTATTTCCTGAAGATGATGAGCTGGTAAAAGTAGTGACCAAATCCTGCTCCCTTTGAAGTCAACAGCAGAATCCCCCTGGACATCAAAGAAGTAGATTAAGATCCTTAGGTTTAGGGTTGATAGAACCCTGGTTCCTTTCTCCAAGATATGCAAATATGAGATGTTAAAGAAAAACATCAGTGGTTGTCAAACCTCTAGTTAAAGGCAGCATGTTGCAGGAGTCAGACTTTGTCTAGGACTAGTCCTGTATCTACAGTGAAGTCTGGTTTATAATCCAGCCTTCACTGTAAATACAAGAACAAGTGAATTCTAATTTAAGACCTTGGAAGAGACAGTTTTGATAAATCCATTGCTAGCAGTGGACATCATGGCCAGGAAAGGCTCCCTCTCTCAGTGAGCCAAACAATTCTGTACAGTTAGATGGACTACAAAACTATTTCAGCAATTTATTCCCCCCACTAAGAAGGGTGTTATTATAGAATAAGCTAATGAGGGCAGACCATCATTAAGTGCCTATACCAAACTTGCTATTCCATTTTACACTTCTGTCGTGGTTGGCTGAGCAGTCCAGGGAGACTTATTTGCTTTTCGGATTAACTGACCAGGCTGGAATTTAAGGAAGAAAGATGATGCTAGTTTGATTTCTTGATATGGTGATGAAGTAGTGTTCTAAAATCAGATGGGCTTGCCCAATTTTTGCACACTTCATAAGACTGTTATTAATCTGACCCCTCTGTGACGGTTGAAAGGATTTCAGCCAATCAGTAGGGAAATGAGTGTGCATTACCTATGTCTGCGCCATACTGGTTAACAGCTTTATTTCATTCCTTCCCCACTGCAACCTCTAAAGCTCCACTCCCCTCTCCCTCAGTTTCCTTGACAAGCCTACACCTCATGAGCGATAGGTATAATAGGCCTCCCCTGGCACTGCCACAGCAACCGGACCCCCAGTTGTGGGGTTTGGCAGCGACGTTTTTGCTTTATTATGCCCCATGCAGGTTCCGGCAGTATGTGCTGTTCAGCTTCCTGGGTTATCAGTAATCTCTCTGGATTCCAGGGAAATTACTGATGAACCCAGGAAGCTGAATAGCACATACTGCCTCATCAGCTGCCCCAGAACCTGCATGGGGCATATCAAAAGCATCTTTGAAGAGACGCTTTTCCTCCAGGCTGCTTGGGTCTGGGGAGGGGAGTGGAGGCATGGCTGCAGCTAGCCCGGGGCTCCTCCGGCCAAGGTAGGGGCATGCCTGGGGCTTCTCTGGGCAGGGGTCTTGTGGCTCTGGGCTGCGGCAGGGAGGAGGACAACAGGGTCTTGGGGCTCCAGCTGCAGGCAGAAGGGATGGAGCCAGGGGTTAAACTTCCCCAAAGGGGGGCTCCACCTGCTGCCTATGCTACACCTTCAGTTCTAAGGGGGCTCTCCCCAAGGTCCAGATTCTGAGGGCTCACTCCCCTCAATCCAGTCTGTGCTTGCCCCACTCCTCAGGCTTGCTTCCTATTTAAACCCCTGTTCTCCAGGCACCACACACCCCAAGTGACTCTGTTTTGCAGAGCCATGGAAGGAATTTCAGGAAATAGGGAGCAGCTTCCAGTACCGCTACAAAGTAATCAATGACAGGTACCACTCACATCCCACTGCATAACTCCATAGTGCACGTGCTTAACTAAAATGAAACAAAGCTAACTTAAGAATCATTGTTCTGAACTCCTGACCATCCCAGAGGAACACATTACTCTGCATAATGTAGCTTTAGCTAGGGGGTGGAAAAAAAAAAAAGTCAGTTTGCATGAGGAACCCCATTTGTACTGAACGATCGCAGCAGAGCTATGTAAGCGGAGAGGGTCCTGGGAGCTGGTTTGGAGAGGGCTAGACAACTCCTGCCATGAAAAAGCAGAATGCCAGTCAAGAGATGGGATTGAGAAATAGAGGGGAAGCATCCAAATACAAATATGTGCTACAAGTCATTACCAGGCACTTTAATGGGGTTACTGAGGGTACATGGGAACTGGGTCATTACAAATGTCCGAGATGGAAACAGACTTGAAGGGCAAGAAAAAATAAAGGCGGGGGGGGGGAGGGGAAGTGGAGGGGAAGGAGAATGTGCAAGAAAACTCTTCCAATACAGTGATTCTTTACTGTTCATTAGGCTTCAAAGCAGACCAGGAGCTCCAGAACCCCTCTGTGTTGACAGCTGTAGCAGGACTGAAGGGCAACTGTCCAGAAAGATTTTTCCTAGTGTTAGTTTTATAATTTGTGATTTAGAATTAGCTCTGGGCAAGTATGGAAACAGTCTGTGGAAAGCAGAGTCTATATTCTTTTCCCTTAGTATTTCACACTTCATAAACAAACGAAACCCAAATTTTTGGGGTAGGTAGTTCCCCATCCCTGTTCCAAGAGTGGCACCCAAACAGATTTAAAAACACCAGACAGTCACAAGTCAATGACAATGAACTATCACTCCAAGTAGTATTTCTGTTGTCAGTGTACACGAATATCACTTCCAGTATTACTCATTAGAATAGACCGATCACTTGTACAAACCTGCAGTGTAGGGGTTCAAAGTAATTACTAACTAATCTCCTAGTCAAATCATGAAGCAAACGTATCAGATGCTTGGGATCTGAATCTTCTTAACAGCGCATATGATAGGGAGGGGGGAAAAATCCACCAGAGCACTAACAAAAATATACAGATTAACAATTCCAGAAGAATGATGCTTAGATTATATTCCATCTTTAACAGCTCTATCCTGGTTTATGGGGACAGTATATAGTGTACAGGACCAAACAGCCCTTTGCACAAAGATACTGAAGAGTCACCATCATCTTCTGAAAGATTCTGGACTCTAACAGAAACAATTCCATCTATTAGTGGCAATGACAAAGAGCGACTTCATGTGAAGAATGGCCCAAGTTGGGCCAATTAAGTCATTAAACAAAGCTAGATTTTTACATATCTCCCTGGTAATAAAATTCAGGGAAATAAACAAACAGTGACCCACCTGCTGCTGTACATAAACTACTTAAGTGTAATTGTTTCTAAAAAGAACTTTTTTCAAAGTTATCCCATAGAGGAGTCAAGAGTCTCTAATCCGGAAGTAGCCCAAAGTACATTTAGAGCCATCAGTCCCAGACACCATCATTAACTAGCAGCCAAAATTACAAAATGCTGCATTCTATCAATTAAAAAACAAAAACAGAGCAGAGGAACCTGTTTGTCTACTACCTGCCTCACTTGCATAGAGGTTACTGATTTGGGGAATCAGCAGCAAGCTTTACCAAACACATCTAAGTTCTAAGACTTTCCTTCAACAGTGTTGGACAAGCGCTCCCAGCCTCATCAGGCACGAAGCAGTAAAGAAGAGTCCCTGGGGGGGGGGGGAAAAAAAAAAAAAGCTTGAGAAGATGAGTAAGAGTTTGACAAGGTCCTCACATCCGGCCCGCGGTGTGCATGTCTCTCTCCCCCAGACCAGTGTTTGTTCAGTGCTCCCTGCAGGCTGGATGTGACCTGGAACAGGTGGAGGAGTCTCACCTCTGACCTACGTGGTTCCTGTTCGCCTCCACATTTAAGGCCAAGTTATGTAGGAAGAGAAGGATCTGCCACCACACTTGATTTCTGTTCTGCTGATGCTGTAAAGGAGAATGATTGAAACAAGGTTATTTATATTTTACAATTGCAACATACCACTTATCTTTTCCAATAAAAACTCAGTTACTTTTCAAGAGCAGACACTTTAATCCCATCAGCACGACAAGGGGGGGGGGAAAGGAGGGGAAAAGAGGTAGGGGGTGGGGAGAATGATAAGTTCTCCAGAAATAATTATAGCTCTAACATTAGAATTTAAAAAAAAAAAAAAAGAGCAGACCCTTATGCATTGTGCACAAGAGGATTAAACCTTTTTTTGCTTGCAGGATTTTGCAGAGTTTAGCCAAGTGCTGTTTTTAATCAGATGGGCTTCTGAGCCTCTCAAAAGGCCCAGCTGCATGAACAAACAACTTTCTTAAAAAAAAGTTACCCCCCTTCTTCACCCCAAAAGTGGAAAAAAAAAAGTAACTGGTGATCCATCTGTAAGTGATTTGACACCGTGAAGGTCAAAGGGTTAATCTTCAATTTAAACCACACTGCTGAGGCAGCAAAACTCTGATTTCATCCAGTACAAGAAAACACTCGTGCGCGCACACACTCCCCCACTCCCTCCCCCCCATCACATTTTCCTTCCCAGCATCTCCAAGATAATACTGCCCTTTTTATAGCTACTTTTGACAGTAAGCCATAAATAATCAGCCTTGGAGCCCTTTCCTACCGACTGGAGCCAATTAAACCTTAAGCAAGAACATACTTACCCAAAAAAAAAAAGAAAAAAGAAAAGAGAAAAGAGAAAAAGAAACAAAGAAAGAAAAAAGCAAGAGGTTATTTCAGGTCCCACTGTCAAGCAATGAAGTTTGAAAGTTAAGTTTCAGGGGACATCAGACCTCATAATGCTGCTTTTGGGAAGGAATGCTGTCCCCTCTTTTGTTATATGTAATCACCTCTCTGAAAGTGTTCTCCATTATACCCCCCCCCCTTGTTCTTTAATGGCATCTCATACAAACAGGTGGGTTTCTCTTTACACTGCACAATCTGGGATACTATTTCACATCCCTAACCAACCTTCAATTAAAAGGCCAGTTCTTGTTTTCTCATCCAGAATTACCTATTTGTTAAGCCAAGCTAGTGACCATTTAAAAAAAAAAATTCCAAGCAGACAAGGAATAGAAAGCTGGTTTACAGCAACTTCACCTTAGCATATGAGAGCATTACAGAGTACTGAAGCACTCTATATGAACAAGGTGTTTCAACTTTAATTAGTCCAACAGGGCAAATTCACATAAGCATGAGCTAGAAAAAGAGAGAACACCTTAGCTGTAGTTTGCATACTAGAATTGTTTCAAGAGAAATATCCAAAACATTCCAATAAACTCTTTATATTGTGCTCATGCTTTCCGGAGAATAGAACTGCAGAAAAGGTGCAACGTGAACCTCAAATGCACTCAAATTAGGCCTTGGAAAGTATATGCGCTGGATTCCCTAACCCAGCAGCAGTTCGTTCAATATTTTATTCTTCTCCACAAGACTTAAATGTGTCCCCAGATTTAGGAGGGTTTACACTGTTCTAATTACAATGTGCCAATGTCTTTCTGTTCAGAACATGGCCCACGACAGCCATTCGGGAGACTGGCATCATTTGTTCCAAACAGCCCCAGGCTTAAAATCCACAAGCAACCTGCCCCAGAGTGTGGTTACATTCATAGGTGAGAACATTCCCACCATGCAACTCTTGACAATACTATCTTCTAGTGTTGGGTTAATGTCATAATGAACCCCTAAAATGTTCTTAAGGAGGCAGATGCTTTTGGTTTCCCTTTATTCTTATAACCAACCCTACATTCCTTTTTGTCAGAAACTTTGGAGATCTCTCTCTTCCTTCCCCTACCCCAAGCCACATTTCAGAACCTATTCTGACACGCATGTGCAACCAAGACTCCTGACAGCATATCCAGAAAACATGTTTTCACCAACTCATTTGAGACCACCAACCCAAATGCATTATAAATAAGGTCTTCAGAGTAGCCTGCCGTAAGCATACTGTAGTATATATGAAGGTGCAATAGATTTTCCCCATCTCCACCACTTAGCAAACTATGGGAAAGAGCTGGTGCAAATACTAAAGATGCTCCAAAGGAAATGCAGGCAGATTTCATATGTTCATCAAGATTTATTACTTCGTTGTATTTGTGACCAAACAAATAGGCTGGTCTTTAAGAAATCTGGAGAGAAATTTAAGAGATAGCCTTAAGTTGTCTCAAAAATAAATTTGGAACATAGAGCAGTTTAACTGGTGGCACTCCTTTCCCTTCTGCTCAAGTGACATTTGTCAAAGTGCTTAGTTTGGGGCAAGAGGTGCACTAGTTTAAAGTGCATGCAATTTATACTGCTATACATTTACATGGGCACAAATGGTTAGCGTACATATGAAACCAAGTCCCATACACTGCTGCCCTATTTCAGGTAGGAGGTTGCCTTGAGTTTTGCTCGAGTTTCTTATGCAATGTATTATGTTTCTAAATGTTTATCTTCTCACTTTCCCACAGCTCAATAGGCAAACTTCAGAAGAAAAAAAATTATGTGTTTGTGCTTTATTATGATGGGCAAAGGAAATCTGAAATTATTTCCTCCCACCAAAAAATGGCTTTTCCTACTTACTTTTTATACATCAGAAATTCAGGCCTTTTTTACCTTGGAAGACTCACTGGACAGCTGGAGAGCTAGTAGAATCTGACATCACAAGAACTAAAGAAGTGAAACCTGATTGAGCAAGGAAGTTATTTTATCCATATTCTGTTCTGTGTTTGTTTTCATTGATACCCATTTGAGTTAAACACTAGGAAAACGCCATCTTAGTGCAAAACAAAGGTGGGGGAAAAAATCAGAGTAGGTAATGTGCAAAAAAACCCTGTATTAAATTATTAACAAAAAACTCTCAAGCCTTTTTTTATGTCAAAGCAGCAAAAGAAGGGCACATACTTAGTATTTGCACTCCCCCTCTTCCCTTATTTTGCTCTTCACCTTCTCCCTCTAATAAAATAAATAACGCCACCAAGCTTTTCATCAGCAGATCTCAGTGTGTTACAAAGAAGTTGGTATCATTATTCCCAATTCACACATGGGGAAATTAAGGCACAGAGAGGTGAAATGACTTGCCCAAGGTCACCCAGCACGCCAGCAGCAGAGCTAGGCATAGAACCCAGGTCTTTAGAGTCCCCGTGCTCTAGACCTCACTGTCTTTTTATATTTTCCAATTTAGTCAGATTCAAGAGCATCACTTCCTCAGTGACAGGATGAATGTCAGATAAAAATCAACGGTATCAATTTAAATGTGAGACAAGAGACATGGAGGGAAGATAGCAGATGATCTCAGCAGTAAGGATGGAAAAGCCAGTTCAGAAAAAGAACTTACCCAAACCTGAATAGGACCTTCTTGGAAGTTTCAGTAAGTTCAAGTAACTTTTCAAATTCAAGTAACATGCCTCTGCCAGAACTGGGAGCAAAATACTCAAATATCACAAGAGAGGATTTTTTCCAAGGTACTGCTTGCCTGCCAGAAAGGACCAGAAATATCAGGAGAGCCGGTTCATGAGATTTCCAGTTGGATTTCTCAGTCACACAGCCTTGAGATTTACCCATCACTACCTCGTGGTGCAGGATTTATATTCTTCCCAAGTCTGATTCTAGCCCACAATATCCCTGCCAAAAGTAATTCATTTCGTAACCTTACTCTGGGAGAAAATATTAGGGAAATATAAACTGTTAATGACTCTAGAAGGGAACTAGCCTGTGACTAAAGCAGACGAGAGTTATACACTAGAGTAAGTCAGCAAGTGACACACAAAGTTTGAGGCAGATGAAACAGCTTCCTGTTGTAGCTGCAGCCTTTTAAGGAGGATATCCTTATGAGACTCTCTGTCCAAGCTGTTATCATGGATGTTTCAGTAAGTCACAAGAAAGGTAATTTTACGAGAAATGTGTGCTATATAGCAACAGTCAGCTAACAAACCTAAATTCCATTCCCAGAACCATGCTCATATCAGCCAGGATGCCTTTACATAAACAAGTTAATAAAGAACATAAGAGCCATGATGGGAGGGAGGAAGCGTGCCAAAAATGGAATAGGGACAAGAATTGGCAACAGATGTTTTCGATAATCAATATCCTACTGGGTGTTGCACAGTGTGCACAATAAGTGATATGTCTCATATATAAAAACATCTGTCAACCAACCAATCGGCATCCCAGTTCTTGTGTCAAAGCACTTTTATTCATATTCTGCCCTTGGATACAAGTCTGTGGCTCAAGATGATTTCAGGGGATGTGATACACAGTTAAAGACAAAATGCGTCACTTTGGATGTGGCTCTTAGAATCACAGGTAGCAGCTGATTGGTAGATGAAGAGGTTGTTTTTTTTTTCCCCATGCTGGAGAAGCAGCTGTGGATTCCTTCCTTACAAAACAAACTGTCTCACACATACATTTCTTTAGAGAAAGTACCATTGGTGGTACCTTTTGTAGAAGACCATGTACCTTTGTTCACAGTATGGGTGTCAGTCGCTCTCTGCTTTGCTTCATAGTTCTTACCCCAAGTGGTTCTTCAAGGACCAAATTCTGTTCCCACCAGAGTCAGTGGCCAAAGTCAGTGGGACAAAGACTTTTGTTGAAGTCAGTGGGACAAAGATTTGGTAGTAAGTGGCAACACTGGTAAACAGGAACATCAGTGGATGTGTGTCTAGGAGTATTAGACCGTCCCTTTTTAATGGCCAATACAAATCTTGGCAAAAAGTTGCTACTTCTTGCAAAGAAGCAAAAAACACTTGCAACCGAGGAGCAGTTGTTGACTCACTGTTGAAAGCTACATTTAGTTCCAGGTGGCTAGAGGCACATTTGTGCTACCCCAAAACAGATTTGAGTTTAGTAAGACTGGGAAGTCACATTCCCCAAGGCAACAGAAATCATGGATGATGTCCCAGCTGAAAAAAGAACAGGAGTACTTGTGGCACTTTAGAGCCTAACAAATTTATTAGAGCATAAGCTTTCG